CTAAGACCAATTGGATGCAGCGAGATGGGGACTGCACCACTTGGTTGTGTTTATCCTGGGATATTAGAAATGAGTTGGACTTTGATTAAGGTTCATGATTAGATAGCTTTTAGAACAGCATACTGTATGCAGGTTAATTTTTTGTAAAGCAATCATTATTATATATATTGTAAAACACAAAGAGTGTATTTTGTGTTAACAAAAGCAAAACATATTTGTAGGACGTTAAAGAAAAAAGAAAAAACAAAAGATATATTAGCCAGAGCCAATACAAATGATTACATTCTCTGCTGAGAGCCAGAAGGGCTTTAACTCCTTTTTAAAAGTATATTAATTATGTCTTCATAGGATGAGGATTGCAACTAAGTTTTAAGTTAGGGATTGGGTGAGGGTAAGTTAGGGATTGGGTGAGGGTAAGCTATAGATTTAATCCATAGTAAAGGTTTGGAATTCAGTTAGAGTAGAAATGTTGTAATACTGCAAAGTAAACTATGCCAAAGCATATGTAGTAAAACCAATACATAAGATTCTAACCATCTGAATTTGCCTCCTTACATTGGCAAATTATATTTTTCTCTCAATTATGAAGTTATCCCTCTCAGCTCCAAAGGCAGGTCCATACACCAGAGCCTACATTAGTTCGTTCCCCATTTCTCTCTATCTTTTGCCTTTTTCTTTTTCATGATGTCATATGATCTCTCCTTTACCAAGTCTGACACCACCCCAATTTTTTGACTTCCTCTTCCCTGTTTACTATCTATCTTCCCTTCCAAGGTGACAATGAGGATGATACCCCCCCCCCCCCCCCTCCCTTGAGTCTCACACTGAGCACAAAGTCTCCACTAAACACGCGATCCCAGAAAATACACCCATTGAACAAACAAAGGTAAGAATAAAAGGACTGTCTCCGTTTTAGCGTTGAGGGTGTGCTATTTTCTCAGCTGATTGGGCGCGCAACACAGAAACAGTCCAGGCATTGGACTTCTCTCCTGATTTTCTAAGTTTCAGAGCAACACAATGCTACACTCCAAATTAATTCTTAAGAAAATATATACATGTACACCAGTATATACAGAAATTGCATCATCTCTTGTCTAGGTCAAGATCAGCCAATGAAAAGTCATATCTTTTCCCGGCACAACAATGGCCCAATATCTTTGCTGCAATTTTTATTTCATCTGGGTTAACATTGCATTTTGTTTGCAGTGGGGAGGAGAGGGCAAAAGGTGCCATGTGGCTTTGACTACAACTTACTAGAGCAAACACTGAAAACATATTCGCGTCACAATGGCAAGATGTGACATCAAAGTCAAATAGTAGAATTCTTAGTCAAAAACAGCTGCTAACTACATTTTTTAACCGAGCATTTCCTCTATTGCACGGTCGACAAACACATGAATACCCTACTTGTATATTTGCCGTATTTCATAGTTTAGCAGGAGACAGAAGCATAGATAGCGTGGGTAAAGATATGGGGGGGGGGGGTAAAGAGTAAAGATATGGGGGGCACTGATGTCACTGGCAGGGGGGAAAAGGGGGGGGGGGAAAAGGGGGGGGGGGAGGGAGGAGAAAGTGGATGAAGTGCAAATCAACAATGCAGTCGATAAAGTACAGGGTCTGGAAACGGATCATTTTCAGCTTTCTTTCATATCCCCCCCCCCCCTCCCCTCCCTCTCTCTTTTTTCTTATTCTTCTCTTTTTCTTGTTGTTGTTCTTTTTTCCCACTCACTTGCCCCAACCACCTTCCACGTATATATGCCATTGGTATGAGGAAAGTAAAGGGTGAACTGGAGCTTGCATGATGAAAGGAAGTATAACAGGAAGTATTATAGACAATAACATAACCAGTGTTCCTCAACAACTAGATTTAGTTTCCATGTTTATTCAATTAGAAAAAAGATGAACAAAATACATTAAGCTTAATATACATGTATGGATGTATGTATTGAGAATGTAGGATAATTAGCAAAGGTTACATGTAGCTGGTATGGACCTAAGAACTACATTTTTCTTTTAACAATGGGGAATTAGTAGGTACGGGGAGGGGGAAGAAATATTTTTCATAAACATAACAAATAAGAACAGAAGTCATCTTTTATTTTTAGAGTGGATGCCTTGGAAAGAATAAAGAGTGACATGTGACTATAAACTAATATGATAATGATGTTGATGACTCATAGTACTTATAATGCCCATCTGGGTTGTTAAAGACATTACCATGACCATTTTTTGTTGATGGGGTGGGGGTGAAATCTATACAACTAAATCTTGGGTGTATTATTATGGGGAGGGACTTTCTCCCATATAACAAACAGTACCATATAGTATGTTTACATATCACTTGTCGATAAGCTGCTGTTCTTTTCTCAATCAAATATTGCCCAGATATAGTTGTCAAACACTAAAGATCATTAGGCGATAAGTTGCTAATCAATCTAAAAATTGTAGCCTATCCTTGGAAAACCCAAGAAAAAAATCTTTCCACAACCAATTTGGTCGGCAAAAGGTTTTTGATGCAGCAGCGTAAACCTCCAGCCAACCAAAATGCTCCAGAGACCAATCACCGACCACTGACAACCTTTTAAAGACTCCCTGAAACCTCTTTGCGACCTCTAACAACCCACTCCAGACCAGAGATTGTCGGGAGTCAACCCGTATCTCTAGTGTTATTTAGGATTAAAGAGACATTGCATAGAATCGCCAAAAGAAGACAAAAAGCAACTTGTGCATTGAAAACTAGATTCAGCCTCAAGCATACATGTACATGCATAAAACCCAGAAATCAATTCTGACTTGTTCTGTGTTCTGTGTGCATGTTTTTAATGTTATTTTTTATTTTCTTCATACCCTATATAACCGTTCACCCCTAGAAATCTTGATCAAGATTCTTTTGTTGTTGATGTTCACTAAAAACATAATTAGCTGTTTAAAAAAATTTGAAGTGACTGCTGGCCCCTTTAAAATCTTTCTACAGTGCCTGCTATCTACTACTGATATTAACATATTTCTTGCCTATTGTCTTCAATTCAGAAATGTGAGTAAGCATTGCAATCGACTTGGTAATGCACACTGAGTGTCAAGGAACACAAGAATAATAGACATTCTTTCTTCACAATAAATCATCTCTAAAAGCACAGTGTAAATTCTTTATCTCTTTCTTCCAAACAGTTAGATTTAACTGGCACTGCATCTCTTCTCTCTCAAAATCATCAATTTCAGCAATTCAATTTGAGAGGCCAGGGCTTTCTCAATCTTCATCTCTCATATCCAATTGGATCTACACGTAGGCATATTGAGCCCCTTTATTCAATTGATTGGAGAGAAATGAGTTAAGCTAGTTCCCCAGCCATGGTCCCCTAAACGAGGCAAGAATTCTTTGAGAATCACATTCAGAGGGAAGAATCAAGTGCTAGCATGTAATTCTGGTCAAGTTCTGTTGATTTTTTTAGATTAAAATATGCCACCATAAGTTTATAATGTACTTAAGTTTTAATTTCCTCCAAGAAAATGTTCTGGTACATGTACATGTACACATCTCTACCTCAAAGTGAAAAAATATCTTAAAACATGTTTTATTTGGCATATAATCAATTGTTCCCTTTCACTTGTGTATGTTCTATCATACTCCTGGGCCCTGTATTACAAAGAGTTGATATCAATCGCAACTTATTTGTGATTGATATCAACCACAACTATGTACATAAGAGATGGGAGACTGCAAACTTGTGATTGATTTAGGGACTTGATATTGATTCGGATCAATATCAACTCTTTGTAAGACTGGGCCCTGATGTTCTTTTGTTTAATGCAGATGAATTCATAAGTGATTTCAGTTTTTTGCACATGTGTGCCATGAGCATATGATTTTAAATGGATTTAGCACCTTACAAATATCATATTTCATTATTATTATTATTAAAAATCAAACAAAGGTGCCATACACAGGATTAATTTGTGAGTTGTAAATAGTCAAAAAACCCTTATTAGTAAATTTTGAAGAACTGCTTTAACTTGGAAAATTGTGAAAAACATTTTTTTTTCTTAGCAATTTTGGTGTCTTGTGTGCCCTATATAATCAAAGAACCTTGGATCCAGTACAGTTAAAGGGATAGTTGAGTTCTTGTTTCAGACCGCAAATGCCTTCAAAGTGAATGGTAATCGCTCTTATTCTTATTTTAATATGACATTTCTAGTGCTCTTTTAGGACCTAAAATTGCTATGAAGGTAATTTTAGACCCCAAAATGTGTGAAATTTAGCCAATAAGATCATACCAATTCAGCTCCACCAAAATATGATGACCATTAATTAATTAATAATAACAATACACTGGCTGGCTGGTTGTGCATATTATAACAAACACAAAAAAAGCCAACATCGACAGTGGGTGGAATAAAACGTATTACATGTAAGGCGCTATCTCGTTTTTTCAAAGGCTGGTTCAAATTATTAAATATTTGTGGGGCACCACAAATATGAGAAATCATTAAATTTATGGATATTTCAGCTGTCTCTGAACCGATTTTGATCCAACAAAGATGATTTGGCATTTAAATTGTATGTTCTTTCAAATCTGACACTCAGTTTTTCATTATCTCACCAAAAAAATTATTTTATGTAGTGCCCTCTTTAACAAAACTCTACTATCCCTTTAATGATACCAAAACAAATCATGACTTCCTGTATATACAACAGAGTTATGATCTTGGTTATTGAACAGGAAATGAAGGGAAATGAAATGCTCTGTATGTAAAATATTAATTACATTGAACCTTATCTTTTTCTTTATTTCACTGGAAGCAATATGTGATTTCACTGCATCTCTTATAAACACACAAAAGCATTCAGTCATGACATCATACATACATACATACATCAATGCAACATTCATCATATCAAATTGGTAATGCAATTCAGCAAACAATCAAATCATTACAGAGCCCAATAACCGAACAATGATGAATGCCAAGACATAACGAGACCAATGCCTAAAAACACTCACCTGTAAATGCAGATCACTAAACCTCTTAAAAGCTCCCACGGCCGTATCGTGCAACCAGAAATCACCAACGTGTTTTCACCTCTCTTTTTAACTGCACTCCACCGCTCTTCCTTCACCTCATCTGTAATAAAAGATGCAGATGGATAGAGCAGTCAGATTAGGAAATGACAAACAAGAAAGACTTAGGTTGGATTTATTATGGCTGGCTGCATGTGTAGAGAGATGATGGCAAACTGGCAATGAAAGGTCATAATGAGCTCTCTAGCATCTCACAGCCTGAATGACGACAATAACGCAACAAAAGATAGCAGACAGACAGTGGCATCTAGCTCCATGCACACTTAGCTTACATGCACACCATACCCAGCCAGCTAGACTAGCTAGCTGCACATTTTATTTTTTTTACCATTTTGAGCATGCACTGCTGCACACCCCTACAGCGCACGTATACACACAGGACATGCAGGCACCAGCATATAACACAACCTTACACACAAGGTTTGGGATCTTCCAATGCAATTTGAAACGTAGAACCAATCAAATGTTATTAGGTGTAGAGGAATGAGATGTTGACCTGTAAGTCTTCACTGGCAGTAGAGATGCATGACCATCTCATCCTCTGGAGTGTTTGTAAGATGCCTCGGTCATAGGATTAAAATCTAGAAGATTAAGATGCAGGATCCTGAAGGGCATTATAATGGATAGAGAATATGATGAGGAGTGTCAAATTATGCATTTTTGCAAAAGCACCATTCATATATATGTACAAAATCAGAGGTGGGTCTACGAGGTGGGACACATGGTCATGCGCCCCTCACCCCCCCCCCCCTACCCCCCTAAAAAAAATAAAGGGGACTTGAGACAGAATCATATGAATTAAAAGAGTGATAAATCCTTTTTTCTTTCTTCATTTCTTTTCATTGTCTTGGATCTGCGACTGAAGGTCATAATAACAGACACAATTTGTAAGAAATATATCAAAAGGTTGTTTTTCTCTTTCCATTACGCAAAACTACCATATTTAAATGTAGACAACATAACCATCTTGTCACCTGAGAATACATTTTCTTAAATGACACAAAGTTTGAGATGCTGAAAGGGTGAAAGAATGTATTTGAGAATATGATATAAATGCATAAATAGTGGAAGAAAAATTAATCTTTATACCTGGTAACTGAAATCAGTACTAACACACAAAATTACACTGTATTTACAATATATGAATTATTCGTCAATCTAGTCTTCTACCTGTACATCCATTCATGAAATTTAATTACATGTACATAATTACTTAAACAAAATAAATATTTCCTAATTTCCCTACCGGTAATTAAATTTCTAACAAAAGCACTCTGTTGTTCAAAGATGTGTTTTAGTGATTATCTTTTTAATCAATATTGTCATTGGTCCTAGATCACCATATAAAATGTAGTTCCATTAGAACATTCACATGTACATTTTCATCTAGCAGCTTTTTTTCCCAAAATTCTTTATCAATATGTACTACCCATCTGCTACCCAAGGCAACACAAATGTATATACATGTATATGCAAACTAATGTCAAATAAACTTTTTTAAACATGTAATTCAAACATGGAAGTCAACCCACTTCCAGTAAGAAATGAGTTACTAAAAATTTGCTACTACATATATATTATGGTTGCAAACTCACAAGGTATGTCTCCTTGATTTGTTTTTACTTACTTACATTTCATGATTATGTACATCTCCGATAGATGGCGCTATTGCACAATTATTTTTCCACAATATTGCCACTGCACCATTTCCCCACTGCACAGGAGACAAAAGCTACTACATGAACACGTACATGTGAATGGTCTAATATGGAACTCCAATTAATATGGCCATTTAGGACCAATGACAATATTAATTAAAAAGATATCACTAAAACAAATCTCTGAACAACAGAGTGCTTATGTTAAAAATTCAATTTGGGAAATTAGGAAATATTTATTTAGTTTTGCGAGGGAGGCGAGTTGGCTCAGTCGGTAAAGGGTCTGCCTGTCGAACCAAAGATCTCGTGTTCGAAATCCCACCCAGACGGATGACTGACGCCTGTGTTGTGTGTTAACGTGCCCCTCCCCTTGTTTTATAGACGCAGGCTATGTTAAGTGGAAAACACTCCATCCCTTGGATAGGGCGTTAAATGGAAGCCCTGTGTAGAGAAGAGTCACCACCTTTGCACATTAAGAACCCATTGCACTATTCGTATAAGAGTAGGGGGAAACCCCGGTGTAGTGGTCCACCTGTACATCCCAGTATATAGTATGACAATACTCTGTAAAGAGGGATGTACTCAAGTGGAAGAAAATTAGCGGATAGAAATGATCTCTAAGGCACTGTTTAATAATCTACATGTAGATAATATCAGACATTTAACCTACATTATCTATCCCAATAACAATTTTGCTCACAGCCAGTTAACCCTTAGCAGTTCTTTTGATCCAGAATGCTTTGAATTACATCACACCATGCACCATAGTTTGGCAAATATTGTGTATATAGTGCAAACAGATTCTTGTCCTTTGTCATCTAGCATTTCATGCTCTAGTTTTTTTTTTTTTTTTTTTTTTTTTTTTTTTTTGGGGGGGGGGGGGGGGTCATGTTTGGTGTGAAGAGGCCTCAACCTGTACTGCACTTCAGTCTCTGTACAGAGGCAGTCAGTACAGTGAAGCAAGACATAGACTCAGCAGGTCACCATTAATATCAGAGTCTGAAGCTTTCGGTCACTAAATTTTAAAAAGCCAAGACTCAGACTCTAGGATTCTCAAGTTGGTTGTAAGGACCTTGCTCTCAGTCTTTAGATTTTGATTTGGGTCTACAACCTGACAGAGCCTTCCTCGCCCATACAGCCACGACACAAACCAGGAAGCTCAGCTATTTGAGCTTGGCAAAATAAAGCTCTGTTTTTAGCTGTCAAAAATAACCGTCTGGTATGCACAATTTTTTAATAAAACAGGCATTTGTCACCCTTCTTAGCTTTCGCATATACAGACGGTTACCCTTGCCGCAAAAGAAGGGGGTATATTAAAGCTAGCTGATTTTAGCTGGAATCCGGCGAATTGATAACCCTCAATGTTTTGAAATAATTGGAAAGAATATAGATCTAATGTTTATATACTCTAAATATAACATCAAAATATATGTAATTTACTTTCAGCTAATCTGTCTGTTTTCTTGAAGCTACTGCACACGATGAGATCGGATATCACACAAAAACTGCATTGTGTTTTAAATCTCCCCTCACTAAACAGTACAATTAAAGTACATGTACATTTGTACGGATTCTAAATAATGATCGTGATGATCATAATGATGATGTTGATGATGATGATGATGGTGATGATGATTTCTTGCTCCAATTTTTACGTTGTCTCGAGGCCGCCATATATTGTAAACAAAATTAATGTACGCTTCCTCGCCGGAAGATGGCGCTATATCTTCCATCTCCATATCTCTATGGTTACAAACAACGGGAGCTCGCAGTGCAGTGCGGCCGTCAACAGTGGCTATACTGCGCCGGTACTACCGGTGTGCATGCTGACGCCCCCATGTCTGCTGGAGCTAGTGGCGATCGCGCAAGGACCGAAACATGGAGAAGTTTTTCGTTGTGAAAAGCGTGAATCTTCTGAAATCTGAGGATTCCAAAAGAATGGTCAGCAAATAATGACCTTCGACCAGTAAATCAATATTGAGAAGAAGAGGAAGACCAAAGATGTTGTGGAAGAATATGGTAAAGACTAAAAAAATAATGTAAATATAAACCACATAAACAACCAAATAATTCAAGAAACTGTTGCAGAAAAGGATTTGGGTGTCATGGTAGATGATGAGCTGACTTTTCACACACATATTGACACTGCAGTTAAAAGAGCCAATCAGACGTTAGGACTCATAAAGAGAACTTTCACAAGACTATCAAGAGACACATTACCAATCTTGTTAACGGCCATTGTTCGCTCTCTTCTTGAATATGGAAATATCATCTGGCATCCAAGGTTTAAGGCTGAAGCAGTGAAAGTTGAGAAGGTGCAAAGAACAGCAACAAAATTAATTCCTGAGATCCGACACCTATCCTATCAAGACAAACTTAAAAACCTCAGAAAGTATTCACTGCAATACAGAAGGATAAGAAGCGACATGATTGAGGTCTACAAGCTGATGAACGGCCTCGTAAACTCCGATCCTGCAGCCTTCTTCTCAGGGGACACCACCAGAAGCTGTATAAGCAAAGGAGCAACACAGCCCTAAGAAGAAACAGCTTCAGTCAGAGAAAAGTCAAATCCTGCAATAGTCTTCCTACATCTGTCATCTCCGCATCTTCACTCACTTCTTTCAAGATTAGATTGAACAAGCACTGGTCCTCTCAGCACCAAATGCTTCCATAAAATTAATACGTGTGTCCACCCGCCATGCGAGCAAAAATAGTTCAGTTTTATTAGAACGAAGCACCACAATGAAACGACCGGAAGTTTCAACAGGATCACCTCACACTTTCGTATACTGATGCTCAGTTAAACGGGCCCTTCTTTTACTTTTTCAATGCATTGGCACGAACTTAGATCAAGATCTATCGGCAGATGTTGTTTTTGGAAGTTTATTTTCGTCTTCATGTCAACAATGCAAGATAAAATTGTCGGTAAGATGTGTGGAAATGTCCTGTACCAACCATAGTGGTATAGTTATTGTACCGTTAGTAGTCCCATATGTGCAAATTTGTGCTGGTTTTGACTTACTTTTTTTTCTTTTTTACTCTTTCGCCGCATAGGCCGCACCCCAAATTTTCGATATTTTCTCTTCCAAAAATACTGCGGCCTTTACGCCGGCAAATACGGTATTAAAAAAAAAGAGCCCCCGTGAGAAGGCTTACGGGGCCGCGGGGTTCTTTTTTTTTGGAAGAGCCCCCGTGGACAAAAAATTAATTTGAGCCTTGTACTAGTACTAGCCACTCCAGCAAAGCATAGAGAGTCAATGCTAATGCGTATTGACCTCTAGCACTGCATGCTTGCTGTAAGGAGGGTATTATTAAATTTATACACAAATATACACACCACACAATATTGCATAGACTGCACACAGTCATGTCGATGCAGCTGTAAGCAAAGTTTGACACTAGGGGGCCGTTTCTCGAAACCAACTCTATGACAGTCATATCTTTGTCGCCGACCTACAGAGATGTCATGAAGTGGATAAACCGTTTCACAAAGCCATGACAGACATGATATCAATATATCGCGATACTAGCAGCTCTAGAAGATAGTCTTTGCCACGATCCATTTGATTTATCAAGATTCAGATTCAGATTCAGATTAATTTTATTGGTCCATTTGGAAATTCATTTGTTGGCATTACATAGGCACATGAACAATATACAATAGAAAATAATATACTTCTACTTCTACTTCTACGACGATACTCAGCAGGATCCATAAGTCAGGATGTAGTGCTGAGTTACATGTATACACAAATAGATAATATACAGTAGCAAATGTACAATGACAAATTCATATGGAAACACGGATGTAAATCGTTTTTACATAGTGGAATTATGTAAGAAAAATAGAATAGATAAATAAATGGATTTCCAACACTAATGAAAATGTACGATTGCGTAGAATTTGGAAGTAGTATTGTTGTTATATTTCATTATTATCATCATCATTATTATCGTTATCATAATTATTATTGTTA